GAATCTGCAGTGTTTTGCACTAGGGGACTTGGTCCTCAGACGTGTACTAGGATCGGCTAAGAACCCAACACATCGAAAGCTCGGAGCAAACTAGGAGGGTCCATACATAATAACTTGAGTAGGGGGCAGTGGATATTATGAGCTCGAAACCCTGGACCATAAAACAGTGCCACGGCCCCGAAACTCAGCTAACTTAAGAAAGCTCTATTTCTAAAAAGTAANGGAGGGTCCATACATAATAACTTGAGTAGGGGGTAGTGGGTATTATGAGCTCGAAACCCTGGACCATAAAACAGTGCCACGCCCCCAGAACTCAGCTAACTTAAGAAAGCTCTATTTCTAAAAAGTAACTTTTTAAATAGAACTCTAAAGTGTCTTTGGAAACTTAAGGGTGCCCCTTAAGAGTCAATAAGTGATTAGCAAATGTACCGAACTAAAATCATTAATAAAGATTTTTGAAGATACATCTCTTTATTCTCGCTCTTCTTTTCTTATTATATACGTCCTACTACTAAGGCAATGAAGCAAAAAATCTTGATATAAGTTACAGGCTTAAATCAGGCGCAGCCACCCGATCTGATCCAAGCTCTCAGCTAGGCATGACGATGCAAGCTAATTAGGGATGAATTTGAGTCCAATCATATTGGCGGGTCGGTGTGGGGTAGAAACTCTCTTAGATACCCAAGAGGACTATGAGTAACTTTATCGGGAGACCGAGCTCTTTGAAGAAAGGCCGAGCAAGGGCCATAACTTCGAGAGTTTTAAAAAAAAATTATAAGTATCAAGTTCCAATTGAGGAACTGAGCTCTTTGAAGAAAGACCGAGCAAAGGCCATAACTTCAAGAGTCTCAAAAAATTTTCTAAGTATGAGGTCCCTGTTGAGGGGCCAAGCTCTTTGAAGAAAGGTCGAGCAAGAACCATAACTTCGAGAGTTTTAAAAAAAATTCTAAGTATCGGGTCCCTGTTGAGGAACTGAGCTCTTTGAAGAAATACCAAGCTCCTTGGAGAAAGACTGAGCAAGGACCATAACTTCGAGAGTTTTAAAAATATTCTAACGTTTATGTTGAGGAGACAAACAAAGGCCGAAAGTTGAATAAAGGTTTTAAACTCCGGAAATCAAGTTTTTCTAAACATACAAAGTGAATTACAGAAACAGAAGTGTTGATTTTCATGTCAAACTTCAAAAAAAGGTACACAAAGATCTTTAAGCATATATACATCAAAATTTGCAAAAGATCTTCTAAGTATTTCAAGATGCTGGAGGTTGGAAAGAGCTAGGAAAAGAATGTCTAGAAAAAAGTTCAGAAGAAAGAGGAATTCTAGCAGCAATAAAGCGGCATGCCAGCCCTTGTTGAAATAAGCATCTCAGAGTTGAGGGATCTGCAAAGCCAGATCATTCTCTACCTTTTTAATTCCCTCATCATATGCAGCATCCTCCCTCTCCTTTGCCTCAGCTTTGTATTGTTTAAACTCCTCCAATAAGACTTGTGTAATCAAGCTGGGCTTGAGAGAGTTCTACATTCACCTCGTGTTTGGAATCTTTTAGTAGCCTAATCTAGGTCTGAAGCTTCTGGTTCTCCTCGGTCAAGCTTTGATTTTGAGCCCGCAGAACCTTAGCTTCTTCGCAGAGATTGGCACACTCTTCATCAAGAGATTCTTTCTTGGCCAGGGCTGAAGCTCGGGCGTGGATAGCATCTTTCATAGCCTTATCTTTTCTTGTTATCCTAGCTCTGACCTCATGAAATTTTTGCAAACCCTTAGTTGAAAATAGAAAATGACTTAGACAAAATTTTGAAAAAAGAGGGGAAGGCATAAAAGAGTTGGTAGAAGGGGAACAAGTCTTACCAAAACCAATTGCTGAATAGCTTGACGACACACTTCGTCATCTGTCAAAGCCTTATTCATAGCCAAATCCCGAGGCAAAATTACTCCCCGAGCAATCCCCACTACAACATTAAAATTTTCGATTGCAGAATCTTTCACAGTGATCTCTTTCCTTTTTGCCCTAAGGACTGGTCAAAAAGGGGGATTGACATGCTTGGGAGAAGGATTGCCTTAGACTCAGCAGTTTTTTGTCTTTTTGGGGCTGGGTCTTCAAAAAATTCAAAAATTGAGTCATCTTTATAATCAAGAGAGCGAACATAAGTAACAGGGTCCAAATCTACAGGAAATGAAGTTTCAGCGGCCCAAGCCAAGTCTGTCGGATCATCAACAGGCGGAATTGCATCATTGGGCTCAAGAAGAACAAATTCGACAGGGACCTCAGCTGTAGGCTCCACCTCATGAATAGAAATTAAAAGCACAAAAGTTTTTGGTATTGTCAGTTCGGTGGGCATGGTCGGCTCAACCGTTGATAAGAAATCTAGAAAATTCTTCACAACCCTCTGTCCAGAACTGGTAGGCAAGGCTCATTTGTGGGCTCGGGGTGTTTGTTCTCGAATAGTTTGGATGGTTTCTCTATCCTCAACTAGTGTGGCATTGCGACCATTCGGTACGACAATAAAAGACGTGTAGATCGGGGTATAGCCGAGCAGGGCATGGGCAGCCCGATAGAACAAGGACTCATTGTAGCCTCAAACTCTTCTAAGTTCGTCAAAGACTCAAGGATTTTGTCCTTCATAGTCTCACCTTCAAACAAAGGAGAACTTGTACTAGAAAATAGTAAGCAAACAAGCTAATTTGGAAGAGTAAAAAATTTTAATACCTAGAACGCCTTCTTTGTAAGGGCAACAATAGGAGGACGCGGCACTAGCAACATATTCTCAATTCCCAGAAACAAAAACAATGTCATTTTCATGACCTTTGTTAGAATCAAGAAGATGAGTGACCAGATATCGGTACTTCTTCCTCGCCGCCAGATAATAGTTGTCTCTAGTGGGTTTGATGATGTAGCAGAAAAGAATCTCCCATAAACCGAGATTCAAGCCCAGAAGCTTGTTCAAAGCAACTATCCCCATCACAATCATGAAGAAATTGGGGCAGCATTGGATGGGGCAGAGTTTTGTTGCAGAAAGCACCCATAGAAGGAGAGGGTCCAGAGGGAATCGAACTCCACCTTCGGTGATCGCTTGAGTATGAATGGGGATATTCTCTCTCGTGCCTATCAGAGGTTCATCCTTTCCAGCAACTCTTACATCAACATCAACTGGAATATCGTACTTAATTTTGAAGGCTGAAATTTCTGAGGTCGTAAGTGGGGCCATCAAGGAAGGTGAAANTCATCTGGAATATCGTACTTAATTTTGAAGGCTGAAATTTCTGAGGTCGTAAGAGGGGCCATCAAGGAAGGTGAAGTGCAGAAAGAGAGAAGGATGGTGCAGATACAGAGAAAGATGAGTCTGAAGATGAGAAGGCAAAGTGATGGAAGAACGAAGAGAATTGCTTATAAATGGAGCAAATTCCTAAAGGTTATTTAAATATTAAGCATGCCGCCAAAACAAAAAGGGGGGACGTCACAAGTACACACAATGACGATGAAAAAGCATAAAACGGCTGACAGACGAAAGGTGTCTGTCAGATGTTTTCTGGGGAGAAATGAAGGGGGTGGCTCCCTTTATTACACATGTTATGATATTAAATAAATCCACGTGAGAATGACAAGACAAGGCACGTGAGAAAGACATCAGTCACTCAATCAATAGACCTAGCCGAATTGATCAATGAGTTCAGCAATTAATGAAAGAGCTCGGCTCTTACCGAACCATGTTGTTCAATATGTTCAGTGAGCAATGAGAGATTTCAGTTCTTATCGAGACCGAGCTGATTGATTGAAACAGTAAATGGAAAGATAAGGATATGCCATTAACTCAGACATTTTGGCTAAACAAATCAACGAAATTATTGGTCTGGCTGGAGGAATTGTTTGAGAGATATCAGCAACTTCCCAAATTAAATCGCTTAATTAAGGGAAGGTGTGTCACCTTCAAATGACAATTATGGAAACCCTAAACTAAACAGGGGTCTATAAAATGTACAAGGAGTCATGGTGAAAAATACGCTGAACTCTCATTGTCAATTGGCATTTCAATCAGTTTCATTACTGACTTAAGTATCGGAGTACTTTCAATCGAAGCACTTTAATTTTAGACAATTTGCTCATTTCGCAGGAGGAAAAGACTGAGAGATCAAGTCTAGCAAGACCCCTTTTCCCAAAAATACCAAATNGAATTCCTAAAGGTTATTTAAATATTAAGCATGCCGCCAAAACAAAAAGGGGGGACGTCACAAGTACACACAATGACGATGAAAAAGCATAAAACGGCTGACAGACGAAAGGTGTCTGTCAGATGTTTTCTGGGGAGAAATGAAGGGGGTGGCCCCCTTTATTACACATGTTATGATATTAAATAAATCCACGTGAGAATGACAAGATAAGGCATGTGAGAAAGACATCAGTCACTCAATCAATAGACCTAGCCGAATTGATCAATGAGTTCAGCAATTAATGAAAGAGCTCGGCTCTTACCGAACCATGTTGTTCAATATGTTCAGTGAGCAATGAGAGATTTCAGTTCTTATCGAGACCGAGCTGATTGATTGAAACAGTAAATGGAAAGATAAGGATATGCCATTAACTCAGACATTTTGGCTAAACAAATCAACGAAATTATTGGTCTGGCAGGAGGAATTGTTTGAGAGATATCAGCAACTTCCCAAATTAAATCGCTTAATTAAGGGAAGGTGTGTCACCATCAAACGACAATTATGGAAACCCTAAACTAAACAGGGGTCTATAAAATGTATAAGGAGTCATGGTGAAAAATACGCTGAACTCTCCTTGTCAATTGGCATTTCAATCAGTTCCATTACTGACTTAAGTATCGGAGTACTTTCAATCGAAGCACTTTAATTTTAGACAATTTGCTCATTTCGCAGGAGGAAAAGATTGAGAGATCAAGTCTAGCAAGACCCCTTTTCCCAAAAATACCAAATCTTATTCTATTGAGGAGTAATTTCACTTTTCGCCTCTTACATTAACCTATTAAGCAAATTGATCTTTCATGGCCTGTTTTATCTATTGCTTTGACATGTACTGGGTATGCCCCATGCTGGTTATTGTAAGAGTCATTCCCTTTACTTGCACGCTTTTTGATGAATTGAAATTTTTTTACCTTCCAAAGAAAGTACTGGAGCAGGTAGAAACAATTGTTTCACCTCCTGAGGTGACTGAAATGACTGGCCCAGATGTCATGGAAGAGAAATGTGGCTCCGCTGCCATTCGTTTTGTTGCCTACTTCTCTGACATTTTCGACTCCAAGGTAGAGGGAAGAAACAAGTATCTCGAATTGTTATTATCAGTTGCAGAGAAGTTCAAAAAGAGTCCTTACAGCTATGTTTGGGCGGCTGCAGGTAAACAGCCAGATCTTGAAAATCACGTAGGTGTTGGTGGATATGGGTATCCAGCTTTGGTAGCCATGAATGTGAAGAAAGGAGCATACACGTCACTTCGAAGTGCATTCGAGCGTGACCAGATTGTAGAATTTGTAAAAGAAGCTGAATATGGAGGGAAGGGCAATCTGCCTCTAGAGGAACCCCTGTGATTGTGAAGACTGAACCCTGGGACGGTAAAGACGGACAAATCATTGAAGAAGATGAATTCTCCCTCGAAGAACTCATGGGGCAAGAAAATGCAAACAAGGATGAGTTGTAATCTTTTGAAAGTGTAGCTGCACTAAAGAGAAAAAGGAATGAGCATTTGAAGTTAGAGCATTGCGAGAGTCATTTGGACCACTTGATAGTTAGTGTACTAAAACAACTTCTTCGTTATTGAAAGATTTTGTTGCAAATAACTAATCTTTTCATGTTAAAGAAAAAAAAGGGGATTCTAGTTTCCTATTTGGTTTAGGGTTTCTACTTATTATAAACTCTTGTAAGCCTTAAGGAAGAACTGATTATTGAATACAATTGAGATAGTTGTCTCTTTTCTTCTCAATCTTTCTGATATTCTTAGGAATCAATAGTTTATTAAAGCCTTTAGGATTGATATTTTCTTGTGAATCAATAGGCCTAAAGTAGAAATCTATATCAGTATTTGTGTACAAATCAATGATTTATTTTTATTATCTCTTTTCGTTCATTAAACCTTTATTTCTACTCGTCTCCCGACATCAGTTGGTATCAAAGCTCAATTACGTTAATGTCACTATGCCGCCAAAAAGACAACCTAAAGAACTCTACGGAACCGAGATCAACACGAGAGACACAAGGATGCAACAACAATTTGAAGGGTTAATCCAGCAAGTAGCGACCTTAACTGCCATTGTTCGACAACAAGTACAACAACAATAGTCGTAGCAACCGCAGAGGCGACCCTAAAATCCACGATGGGTGGAGGAGGAGGAAGAGAGTTTGGTGGAGGTGGATGAGATCCCAAAGGAGATTCGAGTTTTTAACACGAACTCAAAAGAGGTATTTTTTGATAGCAAATCATCTTATGTTGATTGGAATTATCTCAAGGCACAACAATTTTTGATTATTGAATACAATTGAGAGAGTTATCTCTTTTTTTCCAATCTTTCTGGTATTCTAAAGAATCAATACATTTATTGAAGCTTTTAGGATGAGTATTCTCTTATGAATCAACAAGCCTATAGTAGGAATCTAAATCAGTATTTGTACACAAATTAATGATTTATTTTCATTCCTTTTTTGTTCATTAAACCCTTATTTATACCCACTTCTCTGCATCACAAATCCCACAAAATTCTTCCTCTACTGTTAGTCATGGGAATTGCACGGGGAAAAATGTATGCAATTGTTGAAAAGCCGAAGCCCACCTGTAGTCTTCGAATATCATCCTATCCACGAGTTGCAAAATCACCAAAAGATTAGAAAGACCCCCAGCGTTGAGCAGGAGGAAATCCCTCCAGTACATAAGTCAGTAATGCTATCAATACGTGAAAAAGAGAATATGTATAAAGCAAGAAAAATGACAAGCGTGTGTGTGTGAAGTATGGAGCTGAAATGCTCATACTCGAGCCCCCATTACTGTTGGGGTTTCACCCATATTTATAGAAGAATATAGAGTAATAAACTGATCCCATTTATAATCTAACAAAAGTACTCCATCGCCACATAACTTCAAGAAGACTAAAAAGTTATGTGGCGATGGTGCACTTTTGTTAGACTTCAAGAAGGCTAGTTTTCATAGCTTCTAATAAACTCCTATAAGTCTAAGACTTCTAAATAATAAAAATAATTATAGAAGTCTAAATATTAAGAAATAACTAGTGCACTAGATTGGTTTAATCTCAATCTCCAACATATACAGGATCATCCGTGTATTCTTATGCTTTAAATCTGAGAGTTGAGATGTTACCGAAGACAGTCTTGGTTGGGTGCACGGTGATTTGGTTTTCGGCATCGGTGTTGATCGCTGCATGTTCAATTTTTTTGGCCACTGTATGTGATACGAGATGAAGGAAATTACGTGTGATTGGAGAGTCAAAGGGAGTGAGTTGCCAAAGATAGTATATCGGTGCTGGTTGGGTTCCTTAGGGTCCGTTTGATTAGAAAGAAAAAAATGAGGAAAAATAAAAATGATAGAGAGTAAAGTAAAAGAAAAGAAAATGAAAGAAAATATATGTTCATGTATGTATTTGGTTTGCATGAAAAAATTGTGAGAAAATTTTTAAAAAATTTCGAAAGAAAATAAAGTTAAAAGATTTTTTTTAATTGTCTAAATTACCCTTAAATATATTAAATCAATCTAAATAAGTAAAAAATATTTATTATAATTAAAAATTTAAAAATTTAAAAAAAGTGGCTCCTAACCTAATTCTGGAACATGCACCAGCACCAAGTTCTCAAAACTAAATTATATGGTTAATAAAATTTATACTAAGATTTTTTAAAATTAATAATTAATAAAATATTTTAATAAAAATAAGGATAACATTGAAAGTTAATTAAAGATCACAACTTTCTTGCATTTTCTTATATTTTTTACAAGAAAAAAAAGTAGGTTAGTTGTGAGAAAATTTAAGTATGGAAGAAAATTATTTTTTCTATCATTTTTTATTTCATGTTAACTAAATACATAAAAAAATTTAAAATTTTCTCTTTCTTTTATTTTCTATCATTATCTCTCTAAACAAACGGACCTTGGTGAATTGCCGGAGACGTGTCTCGAAATGAGGCAAAGCTTTATGGCAGAGGAATGAATGGATGGTAAGGGGAAAGAGACAAACAGAGTAAGAGAACTAAAGAATTGGGAGAACGAAGAGTCAGAATAGAAGTAAATTAGCTAACAAAATTTTAATGAGGTGGCAAATCCATGTCAGATACCATCTCATTAAGTCTCCATTGTGTGTTCCCCATTTTATGTCCCCATTGTATGTTCTAATAGCATTACTTTATTATGAATTCAGGTTTTTGGATTGGGTGAATATATTATTAGTTGTCGAGACTGTTGAGCATAAATGATAGCAATGTGATTACCGAGACTACTAGATATAAACAATAGTGATGTGATTATCAAGACTGTCAGGCATAAACAACATTGATATGATTGCACATCACCACCAGGAAGAAACGAGTTGTCATTAAATATATATAATAAAGTGGAGCCGAGTTTGAATTTTGGAGACAAAGACAGATCCAGATCGTTTTGAGATAAAACATAAACACATTCAATAAACAATGTAATCTCAACATAAAATACGTTTCAGATCATCTCAAAAATTTTGATCTAATAGTTTATAGTAAGTACTGAATTTTATTTTTCCGTCCAATAACATATCCTAACTCACGCCTCTCTCTCTCCTCCGAAATCTATCAAATCTTCCCCAATCTCAGTTCTGCCTCTCTTTCCCAATCTCTCTAGCCTCTATCCCTGCCTTCCAAACTCATCCCCAAAATCTCTTATGAATATCTGCAATCTGATCTCCCTTATAATCTCCACATTGTCTGCCCTAAACGTCTCCCCNGATTATCAAGACTGTCAGGCATAAACAACACTGATATGATTGCACATCACCACCAGGAAGAAACGAGTTGTCATTAAATATATATAATAAAGTGGAGCCGAGTTTGAATTTTTGAGACAAAGACAGATCCAGATCGTTTTGAGATAAAACATAAACACATTCAATAAACAATGTAATCCCAGCATAAAATACGTTTCAGATCATCTCAAAAATTTTGATCTAATAGTTTATAGTAAGTACTGAATTTTATTTTCCCGTCCAATAACATTTCCTAACTCACGCCTCTCTCTCTCCTCCGAAATCTATCAAATCTTCTCCAATCTCAGTTCTGCCTCTCTTTCCCAATCTCTCTCGCCTCTATCCCTGCCTTCCAAACTCATCCCCAAAATCTCTTATGAATATCTGCAATCTGACCTCCCTTATAATCTCCACATTGTCTGCCCTAAACGTCTCCCTCCCCTCCTTTATTTTTGCATTCCATACATATCCTCCCTCTTATCCCTCCCCTACCCCTCTTCTTTTCCACTATTCTATAACGTCAAATACAAAGTCCTCGCCCACCTTCTATTCCCAGCGATCGCAATGTCACCACTATTCCCATCTATCAACCGTCATCGCCAACAACAAATGGAATGCCAGCCAACAGCCAGCGTCGACTAGGCATGTCTTCCTCTTTCTCTTCTTCCCCTATCTCTATTCCTATCCTTCCTCTACCATCCTCTCTCTCTCTCTCTTTAACACTCCACCTAGCCTTACCATAGCCACATCGTCTCCACAACCCAACCCCATAGCCCGATCTCCCCCTGCCATCACCATCGTATCCCATCATAGGCTCAACATCTTTCCTCCCCAACCACTACCAACCACAATCACTGTCGCAACCACTACCACATCTTTTGTCATTGCCACTGCATAACCTCCATCCCTTTTTTCCTCTCCACAATCACAACTGTGGCCCTATGGATGTTCAATGAAATGTCTCAATAACTGACTTATATCTATTTTTTTTAATTTCTCTCTTTGGATTTCATTAGATGGTTCAATGATAAACATTTTGGATATGAATTTCAGTAGTGTTGTTTTCAAGAAATTTTTTTTTGTCAACACTACGACATCTCCCCCTCTATCTCTCCATGATCTACCATCACCACAAGCCCACACCACTATCACAGTAACTATATCATTTTCTTCGACCTTTACTTCACCATCTAAAAAAGTCAAGACATCAACGAAATTGGCATTATCAGAGACCTTGACTCACTGAAGGAATCTAGATGTCGTTTATTTGTTTCTTCTTATTTTTCCAATTTTATGTGACGAATACTCTATGTGCAATACGATGTGTATTTGTGTCTGTTCTATGCATCTACAAATACTCTGTGTGCAATTGATCTTTCTATGTTTGCACATGTGTGATTTTTCTCGGTGTGCACATTTGTCGTGATTAGGGCTTTTGAGAATTAAATTCAGAAAGACGATTCGAGAGGAGATTCTTATGGCGAAAAAAAAAAACAAATTGATTTCATGAATGTGATTCTATTAAATTTGAGTAATTGGATACGTGCATTATTTGTGAATTCACNTGGTGCACTTTTGTTAGACTTCAAGAAGGCTAGTTTTCATAGCTTCTAATAAACTCCTATAAGTCTAAGACTTCTAAATAATAAAAATAATTATAGAAGTCTAAATATTAAGAAATAACTAGTGCACTAGATTGGTTTAATCTCAATCTCCAACATATACAGGATCATCCGTGTATTCTTATGCTTTAAATCTGAGAGTTGAGATGTTACCGAAGACAGTCTTGGTTGGGTGCACGGTGATTTGGTTTTCGGCATCGGTGTTGATCGCTGCATGTTCAATCTTTTTGGCCACTGTATGTGATACGAGATGAAGGAAATTACGTGTGATTGGAGAGTCAAAGGGAGTGAGTTGCCAAAGATAGTATATCGGTGCTGGTTGGGTTCCTTAGGGTCCGTTTGATTAGAAAGAAAAAAATGAGAAAAAATAAAAATGATAGAGAGTAAAGTAAAAGAAAAGAAAATGAAAGAAAATATATGTTCATGTATGTATTTGGTTTGCATGAAAAAATTGTGAGAAAATTTTTAAAAAATTTCGAAAGAAAATAAAGTTAAAAGATTTTTTTTAATTGTCTAAATTACCCTTAAATATATTAAATCAATCTAAATAAGTAAAAAATATTTATTATAATTAAAAATTTAAAAATTTAAAAAAAGTGGCTCCTAACCTAATTCTGGAACATGCACCAGAACCAAGTTCTCAAAACTAAATTATATGGTTAATAAAATTTATACTAAGATTTTTTAAAATTAATAATTAATAAAATATTTTAATAAAAATAAGGATAACATTGAAAGTTAATTAAAGATCACAACTTTCTTGCATTTTCTTATATTTTTTACAAGAAAAAAAAGTAGGTTAGTTGTGAGAAAATTTAAGTATGGAAGAAAATTATTTTTTCTATCATTTTTTATTTCATGTTAACTAAATACATAAAAAAATTTAAAATTTTCTCTTTCTTTTATTTTCTATCATTATCTCTCTAAACAAACGGACCTTGGTGAATTGCCGGAGACGTGTCTCGAAATGAGGCAAAGCTTTATGGCAGAGGAATGAATGGATGGTAAGGGGAAAGAGACAAACAGAGTAAGAGAACTAAAGAATTGGGAGAA